ATTCAAATCCATACCGTTGGAGGCACACTCAGGCTGGCCCTTGTTTGCCACAGACTGCCTTAGCAATCACTGCTCTCTTAAGAGCAATGGTAATGGTAATGTAATATTCCGTCATTTAATATTATCCTTTACCCAGTTGATTCTCAAGTGTTGAACATTTATATTATTTCCAATTCTTGCTAGTTTAAACAAGGTTACTTGGAAAATCTTTGTGCAAACACCTTTTCAGAAACTGAATAATTCCTTAGGATAGATCCCTAGAGGTGGAATTGCTGTATATGCACATTTTAAAAGCGTTGGAGTCTCCCCACCAAATTGCCATTCCAGAAATATCGTGCCAGCCCACACTCCTACCGGCAGACTGTAAAATTGTCCTTTTCTCCACAGACGGTCTGGGTTTTCACCGTGCATCTTGTGATTTGGTGCGCATGTCACTGTAGCCAGGGTTCAGGCTGTGTATGGCAATGCATTGCCAGTTCATGACCATGACCCTGGGAGCTAATGCTTGGGACACTTGAGAGGGCCAAGCTCCGCTTTGTTGGGGTGAAAGTGGATTCTGGGAGAGGCGCTAGGTGTGCCTCCGGATGGTGAATGCACATGAGGTTGCATCAAGTGTCCAAGGAGTCCCCGATATCCTGACAACCCCATCCGGAGATGGCGTGGTCTTGTAACTTCCATCTCATAGCAGTTCAGCAGTTCCACAAGCCACCATGTTTACAAAGCTGGGGAAAGACTGTCATTGCCATAGGAGTGTGTTCTGTCACCAGCCACACTGTCCTGGGAAGTGCTCAGAGGGCAAGGACACCAGGCCCCACTTCCCCAGTCCCTCTGTCATGGGTCCAAGCAGGGCAGAGGGGATAGCAAGGCTTTCTTTGGAACCAGAGGAACCTCACCTTGACCTGGCTCTTCCTTTCATGATCTGGGTTTGTTTTGGACAAGTCACTTTGTTTCTCCTTCATCTGTCAAAGAGGGTGGATGTTCTGCCCTTTCGAATTATACCTGGGATGGCAAAGGAATCAGGGCTCTGAAGGTCTCAACACCCAGCAGGCGCTCTGCACCTTCTCTGTACCTGACACTGCAGACGCCTGATTTCCTTCAGCACTTCCTTCCCAGTAACATTTGTGTCTGATGTTTGCAGCCCCAGCATTCTTGTTTGGGCGAGCAATGTGGTTGCCCCTTTCTAAAAGCAGTTAGAATGGAGTAGAAGAGCATAATGAAGTTCTTGCCTCAAAGGTTGTTGTCTGGAAGTTTGTGCTCCAAGTGAGTTCTGCAAAGAGTGGAATCAGTGGTGCGATGAAAGGCAATGCAATCTCATTTTATTATCTGTGTGGAGCAATGGAGAGGGAGTCATCCAATATCCCAGCTCACTCGTGGCTTTGTTTATTGTGCCCAGTCTTCCTCCAGCCACAGAGGCTGATCACACTCCCCCACATGTTAGGAAGGACGCTCTAAACGCTGGGGCCAGGCACTCTTGTGTCTCCATCCCTTTCCATTCGTTCTCCATCGTGCATGTGGACTGGGCACAGAGTGGACTTCAGGGGAGGGCTCGGATCCTGTTTGCTAAGATATTTGCAGCGAGATAAGTCAGGGTGGCCTGTCTACCTGATGCTATCCTGGCTTCCTGGGGATGGGTGCTCACATGCCTTTGACTGTGTCTAATATCAAAGCTGTTCTTTTCCTCTTGTCCCTGAGTCTTCACATCTCTTCATTTTTATGTTTAAACCAATTGCCTTTTCATTCCCTGTTAGGAAAAGGGGAGAATGAAACAAAGCAAAATGTTTAGATGCAGTCCAGGGAAATAAGGGCTGTATGTGGGTAATGTCTGGGAAATTGGAGAGCCCTGCCAAGCCGCTGTGTTGTGTTGCTGGGCAAGGGCACACAAGGGAATGGAGATCAGACTTGGTGCCCGCGTAGTGTGTGATAACATAGATTGTGTAACAAGATTGAAGAAAAACCTTTAACCAGCTTGTCCTAGGAATCACTAATACCACTTTGTTATGTAATAATTCTATCCATCTTTCGGCCTATTACATTTCACATGTATACAGAACAATAATAACATTGTATCCATCTATTGTTTTCCACTACTTTAATTTTGTGTATGTATGTATATACATATATATATGCCTCTGCATATACATATATTTCTGTGTATACACACACATACACACACACACGCATGCACGCACGCACTCACACACGTACCAGGCTTTGTGGATAAGCAGCACAGAATAAGAAGGTAGAAGATAGAATCCCATGGAAAGCTGGTTTTGATCCTATAAGGGAGAAGCATGTCTTAGAATTTTGGACAGGGTGTGTGTACAGAGCCCATATAAAGGGGACATAACCATGAGGGGTAGCATGTTTGGGCTTCTTATAGTTGTCATCTGAATGTTCCTGAGAGCATGGCCAGACCTAAGAAGATTTCTGTGTTACACAGGGTCTGTGACACACTAGGAACATGTGGAATTATCTATAAGGTCCAGAAAGTTTTCCTAGATCCTAGCAGACTTGGGAGACCCAGGAAAGGATCTGATACTGCATTTTACTCAGTATGGGGCTACGAGGAGGATGTAGGAAGCTCTGGAATGCTGAGGAAGTGGGGCAGGGATGTTGGAGATGGAGAATAATTTCAAAAGGCTAGAGCCCAATGCAGCTGGAGCCTCTGATGTGGTCCATGAACAAGATGGGGCACATCAGCCTCTCCAGCCCCCCCCCCCCCCCCCCCCCCCCCCCCCCCCCCCCCCCCCCCCCCTCCCGCGCCCCCCCCCCCCCCCCCCCCCCCCCCCCCCCGCCGTTCAGGCATTGTCAAGTAGATTACGGACGGGCCACATGCTCCTTGAAGCAGACATAAACATAATAGTAACTTTAGTGTCTGTTTAAAAATAGGAAGACTCACCAGCTCAAGAAAGAGAACTACTCTCCCCCCTCTTTTCTCGACTGCCTTCCTGCTTAAGAGATTAGCAGCTAAGACATTGTCAGCATCCCATCCATGTGTTTCCTGCCTTCTCAGCTGAGGCCAGCAAGACGATAAATGCTTCCTTCTTGCAGCTGCGCTCACCTGTCACTGAGCCCAAACCGGAGCCACAAACACTTGTCGCTTGAAGGAAGCTAAGTGCCTCCGTAGAACGGCTGCACCAGGTTTTTGTCAGAGTCAGTTTCCACTCAATCTGAGCCAGCCTATTTCGTTTTCCTTCTTGGAACATCACTTGAAAGGTGGAAACGAACCTGATCTTAATTCTTCCTTCAACATGACATGCCCTTTTGAAATCGTACAAATAACAATGTCTGATTGTCATGTTGAATTGCGAGCGTGGATGTGAAATGCTCCAAAGTCAGACCGAAGCCAAATATTAGGTCATAAGTCAACATTTTGCTGAGAAACTTGGATTCTAAGAGGTTGAAAATTTATATCTTTTCAAGAGAAAACTTGTTTGCCAGCAGGAAAAAATTTCAAAGACTGTTATCTTCCCATGTGGAGGGAAAGAGATGAGTGTAATTTTGCAACCTGGGTCAAAGTCCTTTAGGGACTTATGAAATTGGCTTGGCCAAGGAATGCAGCTTTGATGTAATATTTGGATTGCTCCCTGAGGTGCAAGTCCATGTGTGGCACAGGAGCGTGTGTCATTTCTTACAAGGTCTTTGGGCAACATTGTTGAATGGCCAGGAGCAGCCTCTTCATGCCGAGGGGTGCCATGGTCTGCTCACAAATCCTTTTGATGAAAACCTTCTGAAGAGAAAATGAGCCATTTTGACCCACGGGCACTTTGAGTCCTAACAGAAGTAAAATCTTGACTACCTTCATCTAAGTAACAATAGCACTCTTTGGAAAGTCTCAGTGGACATGAAGACTCACCTGAAGCAAGAGATTAGCACAATGCCCAGGACAATGCCTCAAAGCTTGTAGCAGGCCAGCTTGATCTCTTGTCTGTGATCTTTTACCCCTGCCACCAAGGCCAGGCTGAGGCCTTCTGGCACCTGGTGTGAGTTGTGGTGGGAGGGAAGATGTGGCAAAGAGGCAACTGTGTGCTCACTATAGAATAAAAACCAGGCACTTGGCTACATTAAGAACATTATGCTCTATTTTAAGCCGGCCAAGTGACAGTGTCTAGTTTGCATCTCCTTCCAAAAAGCAGAGCAGCTCACATTTCTTTTGAGTGCTCAAATTCCAGGCAAAGTCAGAGTTAAGGCTCATGATAGAACTGAAGGTCTGCTGTGGATGGGTGTGATGAAGTGGGACTTCAGTGTGGCCACAGGCAAATTCCTAATGGAATAATCTGCAACCACTGCATTAATATAGAAACGTCCTGTGTGTGTGCATGTGTGTGTGTGTGTGTGCACTCTTGCTTGTGTGCCTGTGGATCTGCATATTTATATATGTGCTTGTGCATGTGTGTATGCATGGGGACACTCATGTGTGGGCAGCGGAAGGCACATGGCAGAAACACAGCCTGGCACCATCAAAATCAGGACCCTGACCTTATGGGTTCTTCCCTATGCATAGAAAGTTCAAGTTCATGACTTAGATATTAAGCCATGGCCATTCAGGGGTGTTCAATCTAGGGCCATCTTCCATGTTCACCGTAAGCAGGGCTCAGCCAGTTTCTAAGTAGAAATACTAAATGGGTACTATTACACTCCTCCTAAATCTCTGATCAGAAAATCTCAATTCCCTGGGTCAGACTTCCTGCATTTTCCAAGGTACGCTTGCTAATCTATAAAATAGGTCCCTGCCATTGCAAGCAGGTGGCTAGCCTTAGAGCCCACCTACCACTTACCTTTCCCACTTTTCTGTGTGACGTGTGCTGTCCTGGAGCATACTGGAGATAGCATCACAGCCTTTTGTGTCTAAACATGATGAACGACAAGCCAGTGGCTTGCTGTGCTGGCTGACAGACAGGGCGCCACCTTGACGGGTCCAGCAAATCCCATGACTGAGCTACTCAGTGCTCAAAACTGATACAGGCCTACCTGACTCCATGGTGATTTTGGTCTTTCAGGCAAAGAAGGGGAACTACGCCTTTTTGTGGGATGTGGCAGTGGTGGAGTACGCAGCCCTAACAGATGACGACTGCTCTGTGACTGTCATTGGCAACAGCGTCAGCAGCAAGGGCTACGGGATCGCCCTGCAGCACGGCAGCCCCTACAGGGACCTTTTCTCCCAGAGGTAGGCACCATCAGCCAAGGGGGGCTTGGAGGATAATATTCTCTTAGGAGACAAGAGCCAACACAAACTTGGTTCTTCCTCACGTGACCTCAGCCCCGATTGTGTACCAGCACATGCTCCTCCCTCCACCCCAACTAGCCCTGTGCCAGCCAGGAATGAAGAAGAGGAAGTATACGGTTCCTTCTCATGAAGGTGCATAGTCCTGGTGGGAACTGTGATGCGGGCAGGCAATGCCAGCACAGCGCAGTAAGTGCAATGGAGAGGATAGTCTAGAGGTGGAGAAGGGCAGAGGAAAGCAGCTGATCAGAACCAGGAGGCCAGGGAGGGCACCTAAGTGCCTAAAGAATGAGTAGAAAGTAGCCCTACTTTAAAATTAAGTGAATAATTAATTAGATCTAATAAGAGCCCAATAATTACTTATTATTATAAGTTTTAGGAACTTCTAAAATTGGCTGTCAGTGGGCAGAGTCAGTGTGGGAAGGGTCAATGTGGTTTTGAAAAAAAATGTGGTCAGAGAAGCAGGTTGACTCCATATCCATGTGCACATGGGCTGAGGGGGCAGCTGCTATCTGCTGGGACAGGCAAGGGACCTGCCTCCTCCTCACCCTCCCCTGATCAGCCTCCTGGTAAATAATACTAGCAAATGGTAGGTGGGGGTGGGGGTAAGTGGGGAGGAGGGCTTTATAGACCTGGGTATTTATATTCAAGCCTAAGCAAAGGCACATGGGTACCCTCCACCAGAAATGAAACATTGTGCCTAGTTTGTGTTGGCTTATCAAGCTTCCCATGTAATTTGCCAGTGGGAGTCCATCCCTTCTTGGGTCTGATCTTCTCTAGACTCTTGGGCATGATCAAGTTTCCAAGTGCTCAGTCTGGAACACCAGGCCAGCTTCCTTGTGAAAAATAGTCTGTCATCAATACCTTGCTTTTTCGGTCAGAAAAACTTATCTTAGTCTTTGACTAGGGGTCTTGGCCTGACCAGACAAGGTGGAAGTGAGGAGCATTGGTAAGCTCAGTGGCCTAAGCTGTTCCTAAGCACATCTGTATCTTGGGCCCATCACTCGCACATGTCTCTGAGGTCACATCCTGGTGAGTGAAGAGGGCAGGACTAAGGAGCGTAGAGAGGAATCCCAAAGGACAGGCTCTGTCTTGGTCCATCAAAATCCAAAATGGCAGAATTGTTCCAAGTGAAAAAGCTGGTAACCAGGCGTAGGTGCAACACCAGTTGACTGGTAAACACAGGCATCCTAGCACTGAGGTTAATCCATCTGAAGGGGCAAGAGCTGTTAGAGGTCATTCATTTAACATCCTGAAGCTCAGAGAGGGTCACTCATCCAGCTCCCGGCAGAGTTGGGAGGAGAACGTAAGTCCTACGCTCATGTTACTGTCAGATCTCCAGTCCCCACTGCCTTCCTTCTCCTACCTTCAAGATGTGGGTTGGGCTTTTGTGATCATGAGTACCTGAGCCTAAACCCCATCAGGAAAAAGCTGAGGACGGTGCCCTACAACCCATCCGTTCAGTGGCTCCTTTGCAAAACTGGGAAAAGAGATAGAACTAAATATGATAAATAAGGCTTCTGGGTTTTCTCTAGAACTTAATCAGGTGTACATTCTGTGCCTCCCTTTGCTTCCTGGAGCAGAGATATGAGAAGGGAGAAGGAGGAGTAGAAATTTATCAATTGCTCAGATTAAAGATATGAAGAAAGAATGGCTTCTCACCAGAATGTGTATTACGTTGATGTTCTTTTTTTTTTTTTTTAATTTTTTTAATGTTTATTTATTTTTGAGAGAGAGAAACAGAGTGTGAATGAGGGAGGTGCAGAGAGAGAGAAAGACACAAAATCCGAAGCAGGCTCCAGGCTCTGGGCTATCAGCACAGGGCTAGATGCAGGGCTCCAACCCACAAACAACTAGATCATGGCCTGAGCCAAAGTCCGATGTTTAACTAATTGAGTCACCCAGGTGCCCCTACATTTGTGTTCTTAAGGTTTACTCCAGTTGATTTTCTGAGACAAGAGGCTCAGGGCATTCCATAGACCATCAACCTGTGAGCACCTTTCTGGAACAGATGGTAAGGTAGCTGGGGGGCCAATGCAGCAGCAGCACCAAGATGGTGCTCACAGAAGCACAGGGTACCCAGTGAGGGGAAGCTTAGGGTCCCTGTATGTATGACCTGCCCAGGGATCTCCCAAAAGTCTGCTAACGTGAATTACTGGAGAGAGGAGAGAGCTTGCTTCCTGGCTGGGTTGTTCAGTAAGTCAGGGCAGCAGAAGGCTGAAACCAGGAGGGAACCTAAGGATTTTCAACCTTGCTCCCTTCTAATATTATAAGGCTTGCTGGGTGCAGAAGTAATTCGATGTCCTTTGTGTGGCCCTTGAGGGTAGCGGATGAGGACCAGTGTGTGGGTGCAGGGTCCCAAAATTCAGGCTTGCTCTGGAACAGACCTGTGCATTATCTATCGATGTACTGACCGTGGGGTTCTATTCAAAATTTCTGACTCTGTGGGCTGCTCCCCCAAACCCAGGAGTGACCATTAAAAAATTTGTGGCTAGTCCAGTCTCCTGGTTATTCTGGCAAGAAGTGATTTATTACTCTTGGCTTTCATTAGAAGTCCATGTGCTCTATGACTGTAAGTGAATGTCCCCAGTGGGCTATGCTGCCCTCCAGATTATCATCACCTACCTCTATGTCGCATCTCCGCTCTTTTGGGCTGGAAGCATCTCCGCTCCCCTGCCTGGGCAGATGGGTATCTCTTAGAAGGAACACTCAGACCTCAGGTTGTCAGTGTACTGCTGCCAGTGGTTCTTGAAGAGGCTCCCCATTGTATGGTGCCTATAGAACCGTGAGCTGCCTCTAGTTGGGGTGTGCCTGAGAGGAGAGAGGGGGCAGATCAAGGAAGCAAGGCTCTATGGCATTTACAGAAAAAAAAAAGGTCTTATATAAATCACAGATCCCAGTCTTATCTGGAGCTGCTGTAACTTTCTTTCCCTTATTCCTGGGAACTAAGCGGTTTCCTTGAATATGGGTACACACCCTTGCTTCGGCAGAGGACAAGATCTATAGGCTACACCTTCTACATGTGTATGGCAGGGGTTAAGTGCTGTAGCCTGTTTGTGGACCATGGCATGCAGGGCCGGCATTCAATAAATGTTTAACAACTTAATAGCCATTTATAGAGCACCTACTGTGTAGCAGGTTCCCCAACTATTGACCAGAGGAAAGCACCTGCAATTATATCTGTCTGGAAAATAGAACAACTGGCTTCCAGAAGTGGCTATTATCGCTCCGGCTTACTCAGAAGCAGGAGTACAGATTATTATAGTGTGCATTAGTTTAGCCTCGTTCTAAGACTCATTTTGTGCCCATGACTTGTTTTATCTTTCCTCTGTTGCTTACATATTTAAATTTTCCTTTTGATTTGTTTGTTTTTACTTTATTCTATGTTTCCCTATAAATTGCCTTACATCCTTCCTGGAATAATATTGGACATAAAAATGCATACAATTAAAAGGAGCTGGAAGAAGAGAGGCATCGGCAAAACTAAGTAGCCTGCCTGATGTCGCAGTCAGTGAGCAGAGATGTAAAAATCAGACCTTACAGCTGTGCTCTGGCCAGAGTTTCATGGTCCCGTAGACCAGAGCCTAACTCTCAGAGAGCCGCCAACTGCACTTAGCAGCCTGATGTTCTGGAAAGAGCATGGCCTCCCGGGTCAGCATGCCCCAGCTCTGAAGAGTAATTTTGCCACTTTCTAATTGCAACCGTGAACAAGTCATCTAGGTGCCGAGCCTCAGGTCTTCAAGATGTAAAACCAATTCACTAAGAACTACTTTGCAGGCTGCTAGGGGGAATTACAACAATGGGAAATGATCGGTCCCTACTATGTTCTCTAGAAAAGGCGGTGCATGTCAGTACCGGACTGGATAGGGTTGCTGGTCAGCATGGCCATCAGACTGTGCAAATTTAACCAGCTTTTTTTGGAGCTTTTATTACTTGCCATGTCTTGAGCTGAGTGGTGCCCATGTGTCCCCTTTCCATTTTGTCACAATCATGTTGTGGTAGGAGTTGTTATGATCTCAGATTTTAGTAACAAGAGCACTGAAGTTGAGAGGTTGCATACCATGGCTACTGTGATGGCACGGTCCGGGTTTGCATGATGTCCATCAGAGCAGAATCGTGCTGGAGACAAAGCTCTGCTGTCTCTCTTTGGTCAGCCAGTCATCTACGCATGAGTCTTCTCAAAGCTGTGAGATCCTGCATTTCCAGCCCTGGGGTTCCTATAATGGCAGGAGGCCCAGATTACTCAGACCTGCCACCATAGACTTCAATAGTGGTCTTTCAGCATGATCCTCTGGCCAGCTTCTCTAACATGTCCAGAGCCACACATAGGTAGTGGGACAATGAAGCTGCCCAGGTGATCATGGGAGGTACCATGTGCCACTGTGGTGCTCAGTGGCATACCGAGCACAAGCCCAAGGCATACAGGTGCACATGTCAGTTATGCATTTATCTCAAAGACCAAGTCCCTACAGGCACAGCAGCATATTAAGTCTTCTGTGCTGACTCTGACTTGTGTCCTTGGCACTTAATAGACATTATCTCACCATGGCCATTTTAGTTTAGATTAGTTTTCATGATTCAATTAATATATTCATACACATATTGATGCAACCAACATTCATCAATGGCCCAAGTTGTGCCACCACTGTGCTTGCTCAGGAGAAACCATGGCATGTAACACATAGCCTGTCCTGAAGGATCTACTCACCTTCGTGGGTCCATCTTGCAAAGATGAGCCAGCCAAGATTAACAGGGGCCAGTCACTTGTTCTGTGATACTCAGCTGAGACCTGGTGCCTCCATTCCCTGCTTCTTGCACTGAGCCAAGCTATTCACAGCCCATGAAAGGCCATGCTATGCTGGGTCCATGATGGTGACAGGTCAGAGGACCCCCTCTGGGCTGTCACCTTCCCTCTCCAACAGCCATAACCCATGCATGGCCATAGATCTCAGCCTCAGCTTGTGGTCACAGCTGGCCTGCAGTGTAGGTCTAGGGCAGAGATTGCTCAACTGGACAGTTGGAAGTGAGCTTCTCTTGACTGTACAGCACCACTATTCTTGAACCGTGCACACCCAAAAGGCTCAGGGAGGTCACAGAAGGTGTTATCACCTGGATATATCACCATGGACCAGGCTGAAAGAGTCCCTCTCCCCAGATGGAAAAGCTTGGGTATGAGGATCCCGGGGACTTCCAGATACTATTCGCTCACTGCTCAGACCACTGGCTTACAGAGGGAGTCCATAAAATACCACAGTAAAGGAAAGCCACCATCCAGACACCTATATAGGGAATACAGGAGCCCAGGGATTTGTCCCATCTTGGCGATCAGGATGGAATCCAGCCTTCCTCTCACACCTTCTCAGAGCCCACATTCTTGACTCACTCCCGCTGCTTTAGCTTCGTTTCCCACGATCTTCCTCCTCACTCTCCACTCTCCAGCCTCAGTGGCCACAATGTAGCATCTCAGATATGCTGAGCACTTAGCCTAGACAAGACTTTCAAGCATGGCTGTAGGCTTTCCTTCTCATTGAATGCCATCCCTGCCAACCACAAAGTGAATTTGGCAGGATATTTCACCTCTCTGTGCCTCCGTTTCCTTCTGTATAAAAATAAGAGAATGGAAGGAACTATATCAAAGGGTTGACATGAGAATTAAACACTATCTGTCAAGCACTTAGGATATATCCTGGCATGTAGATTATGTCAGACAAGTGTGAGCTATTCGATGACTAACCTTCCTTCAGGTGCTGCTCAGCTGTCACTTCCTTGATGAGGTCCTCCCTGTAACCCTCCTGGGCTGGACACTCCCCCACCCAGTGCACCATTTCTTAGCATCTGTACTTTCATGTCATGGTATTGATCATAGCTTCGGTGTTCACATTGATTGCTCTGATTGTTTCAAGGTCCATGTTTGTGTCTCTGGACCGCTCCCTCAGCAGTGTTGAACATCATACATAACACAAGGCAGATACTGCTCAAATTGAATGAATGAATGAATGAATGAGTGATTTGGGGAATCCTGGTGGGAGAAACTTATAATGTATTGAAGTTTTAAAGAAAGCATTTTTTAACTCCACAGTCTTGAGTGTTGCCTCGTCTAGTTCTGTATTTTCCTATTTTATCCCCAGAGCTTGCTCCCTATTTCATGTGAAGGGTCCTTATGTGCTCTGTTATTGAACTTTATCCATGGGTGGTGACACAGGGTAGGAGGGGGCATCAAGGCCTTTAAGGAGGAGAGAGGCAAAATCTCTCTCCTTCCCAAAATGTGGGTTTTGGGAAGAGCACTCCGCCTCAGAGGGATTGGGGAAGGAAAAGTTGGGGCAGAAGAAGAGCTACCATGGTTCAGCATGGTCTATGGAGGGGCCAGCACGGTGGGGAAAAACCAAGGCCCCCATGACCACACTGATGAAGCTAGTGGCTGTGGCTCATGTGGATTGTATCTTGCAGGATCCTGGAGTTGCAGGACACTGGGGACCTGGACGTGCTCAAGCAGAAGTGGTGGCCGCATATGGGCCGCTGTGACCTCACCAGCCACGCCAGTGCCCAGGCTGACGGCAAATCGCTCAAGCTGCACAGCTTCGCTGGGGTCTTCTGCATCTTGGCCATCGGCCTCCTCCTTGCCTGCCTGGTGGCCGCCCTGGAGTTGTGGTGGAACAGCAACCGGTGCCACCAGGAGACCCCCAAAGAGGTCCGTGCCCTGAGTCCTGCTTCTCCTTTCTGCATCCTAGAGGCAGGAGAGTCCCACTGGGCCACTTGGCGGGTGGTTTTCTTCCAATCAGTATTTACCGAAGTCACTTGTCTGGAGACGGTAGTGGTTTATTTGGGGGGGATGGTGTCCTTGTTTTATTTTTATTTTAAAGCAAGAGAACAAATGTAGGGGATGTTTTTATGCTTGAACAAAATGCCAAGGCACCAGCCATGGCCACTAAAGTCCTGTATTTATCTATAGAGCGGGTACAGCATGAGCAGCGCCAGAGAGCCCTTCCCCACCCTGCCCCGCCCATGTGCCTCCACCCTGACCTGGAGAGACCAACTGTAGGGTAAGAGAGGAGACCTCATTCCTTCTCGGTTCTCTTTGCCTTCACATCAAGGGCCACAGGGCTCTGCTCTTCCAGCATGCAAGTAGGGACTGGCCCTTGCCCCTCCTATCGCCCCTTCTTCCCTTCCCTTCCTCCTCCTTACAGAGCCCAGCCTTCCCATGTCCCTCCAGGAATACCCAGCGCAGGGAACATTGCGGCTCTGTCCAGACTTCAAGTTCTGGCACAAAGCCCTCTTAATGTGTGCCAACCACAAGGTGATTCTTTCCACAACACTTCCTTCCATTGGGGTTTTATTCTTCTTCGTGTCTAGTTTTTTTATGCAAAGCCTCCACCAAGGCACCCTGGAGCCAGTTCCCCTAAGGGAGGGTGGCAAGGAGTGCCATTTAGGGATGGTATGTGCCAGTGGAAACCTACACACAGGCAGGGAAGCATAAGCCGAGCCACTCCATTGTGGGGTGCCACTGTGTGCTGCCTGCACCTCAGCTTCTTCTGAATTATAATCAACAGATTATGTTGATACAAACAGGTATAAATTTCAAACAAGATGCAGCAAAGTAACCAGCGCCAAATCCAAAGAGGCAGTGTCACCATGGCCACCATCTCTGCAGCGTGGAGAGACTGGTTGGCCACACCCCATATCAGTCTGAAATGGAGCTCCTGGCAAGGGGGAGAGGGTGAGGACAGACTTTCCATTCATACCAGGCAGCGAGCTCTCTGTCATCACACTTAGTTTTTGCTGGAAGGATCTTGCCATTTGATTCAGCATATTGGAAATGTTCTGGGGACATCCATCTTCCTCATCTGCCTTCTGTGTTCTTCCCTGCAAGGAAGTGCAAAGCTTGGGTCTCCCATGGCGTCAGTGCTTCTCCTGCCACCCCTCATCCACAGGAAAGAAGGAAGAATGAGACCTAAGGGAAAACCACTGAAAGAAACAGTTAATGGTTCTGCTTAAACTTCTTTTGCTAATGGGATTATGTGTGTGTGTGTGTGTGTGTGTGTGTGTGTGTGTGTGTGTGTGTGTGAAGAAGTCTTTGGGAGGGACGTTGAATTATTCTTATGAGTAGTTTTAAGGAAAGGCTGCATATATGTCCCCTTACCAGCCTGTTTCTCACCACCCAAGTCTATATGTACAGAAGCATCGGCCTGTACCCAGGGTAGGGTGGCCCTAGAGCCTTCCCCACCGGGACAGGGGAGGACCAGATCCCATTGCATTCTCCATGTTGTTTGGTTTGGGTTTGTTTTTTTTTTTTCCAAACCCAGTCAGCCACAGCCTGATTCCTCTGTGCATATGCCCTTGGGTCAGGGGAGCAGGAGAGGCCCTCTGGGTGGGGAGCATCTCACTGTCATGGAAGTGCTGACGTGGGATGGCGTGGACACAGGCAGAGCTCTCCAGATGTCCCTTGTGAACCAGATGCAGAGAGAGGCCATTCTTCTTCTGGCAAGACATTCTCATCTGCTTCTAGTCATCATGTCCCTCCACATCTGCTAGTTTAGTGTTTAGTGACAATCCTAGCCTGAGAAGCCCAGAGTGAATGATTACAGTGTGCCTGCGTGTCTGTGTGTGTGTGTGTGTGTGTGTGTGTGAGAGAGAGAGAGAGAGAGAAAGGGAGAGAGAGAGAAAGGGAGAGAGAGAGAAAGGGAGAGAGAGAGAAAGAGAGAGAGAGAGACGAAAGGAGAGTTGGGAGGATTGATTGTTGGAAAGACCAGGAGACCAAGAAATGACCCAGTTCTGAGGAACAGCTCTCTTCTTGCCAGTAAAGCATCCTGTCTTCTCTTTTGGCTTTTGCATAAGCCTCAGGTCTCAGGCATAAGAGAGGATGAAATACATTGGTCCTGCCTAGGAAATGTGGAAATTTCTGCACCTGCCCCCATCCTGCTTCCAGATAGGAATGAGGACCAGTGAAAAGACAGGTTGCAAAAGCATAATAGCTGCCTTTCTTTCAGCCCCTCCTAGAGGGTTACTAAGGGTTGCATGATAGAAGAAGGAAATATTCCCCATCTTTTCCCTGTTTTTGTGGGTTTCTGATTTTCAAATGAAATTTCTCCCCCTCTCCTCTTCCTTTCATAAATATGTCTTTGGCGGCACAGTCCATGTTCCCAGGGGGCTTACCTCTGCAGGGGAAGATGTGGCAGAGAGGTTGACCAAAGCAGTCTCCATTCATCAGGGCCCTTCACAAGTGAGCAGAGGGTACCATGGATGCACTGAGGGGCACCCAGCCCAGCCTGGGCATGGTGGGGGGAGGTCATAGGGTGCAAGGGTACCTGTTGGTGAAGAGTTCATCAGTCTTGGAGAACTCAGTGTTGAAGAGTTGGTACAGATCCTAGAGCTGGAGGTGAGATTGGAAGTTGCCCATGGGGCAGGGTGAACAACACAGAGGTAAATAGTCATCTCACCTCCTGGAGCTGTGGGGGCTGGAGTGTCGGCATCAGCAAGGGGATGTGAGTGGAAGAGGCTGAACCAGGGGGCAGGACTTGCTCCGAGGGAACCAGGCCAAGTGGTTGAGACTTCATCATTCAGGGAATGGGAACCAGGAAGGGGTTGAAACAACAGGATATCAGAAGCATATCTTTCAAACCTTCCACAAATAATAACGGTATTTAATCCAGAACCACTTAGTGTTGCTGGTTGGCTGTGTTTTATAGAGCAGCATTCTCAATTAGGTGAGAGTGTCTGGTTTATCTTAGAATGCTTCATTTTGGAACATTGGCTGTATTTCTTAAGAGCCAGAAGCCTGTCTTTGGGTGTAGTTCTAGTTGTGTTTAATGGCTTGTGCTGAGATGTCTTCAGACTTCAGACACCTACTTGAGGAAGAGTAGTAATGTGCGTTCAACCCCTTAATATTCATGCGGATTTGAGCTCATATTTTTTCTAAGGAATCAGACTATTATGTAGTTACCCAATGCAGGTGAGTGCAGCAGGCAGGCCCTGTGGTTGCAGTAAAGAGCCACCCTCTAGATTTATGGGGGAAGTAGAGCCATTGCTCTAAGAATAAAATATTCATGAAATAAAGATGAGAACCGCACAAATGGGAGATGACATGAAGAGTGAGGGATGAATCATCTGTCACTGGGCTGGGAGCTTGGAATGTTTGTGCTTCCTGCCTTGCCTGCCCTCCCCACCCTTTCCCTGCTTCCTTCGCAGACAGGAGCTGACAGGGGCCAGGGTGGCCAGGCAGCAGTGGCAGAGTAGCACCCAGCGGGCCAGCCGCTGTCTGCATGGCCCGGCAGCACACGCCTGCTCTCCATGGAAGATCTGTGGTGGGAGACATCCCCTTTGGCTCTGCAACCTTCTCTGCCTTCACTCCTCTGATGCTTCTTCAACTCTATATAGAGACTTTCTCTCCTGTACCTTTCCCCTCTTCCTTTAGGCCAGCCTCATAGTGTTGCCCTGAGGCTCAACGAAGGAAGGCGTGGAAAGTGCCATAAACAGCACCTGTCCATGGGACGTGCTTGGTGAATGGCGGTCAAGGCGCTATTCCTTCCCAAGGACTTTGTGATGGGCAGTATGGGGTGTGGGGAGGACAAGTCACATCTTAGGGCACCTTCCCTGTGCCAGGAAGATTACACGTTATCTTCTTAACTCCCTAATTGTCTTTGAGTGCATTGGTGGATGGCATCCTTGGCCCTGGAAAAATGGGATGAGGAAGGGGCAGGGGCAGAACTGGAATATGAATGATGTCTCTGCCACTGGGCCATCCTTGGGGTGTGTGCAGGAGCAGGGGCTCCTGCCCAACATTTGCCAGAGGATTTGGGGAATGAAAGGTGTAACTTGGTGTTTTTTCCTTGAGCCAGGATGCTGGCTCCTAGCTAGGCGTTGACATCCTCTGAGCCCCAGTTTGTCTCTTCGACTGCAAACTGAGCCTGGCCCCGTGGCTATACTGCTGATATCAGACCTCTTAGCATGAGGGTAAGGATAGTGAGTGTGCATTTCACCCCTTACTCCAGGACCTTCCAACAAGAAGACAGTGAATGCTTATCTTACACCAATGTGTATCTCAAAAGCAGCTCAGACATTCCCCTCTGTAAAATCTCCCCTGCTTACCTCTGTGGGCTGCCTCCCTGTTTCTGGCTGTGATTCCAAATTGCTGCTAATAGTTTACCTGCCTATCCCTGCTTTGAGTCTGTTGGCGCTTCTCCACTTCTCTGTGTTGCCATCGCTTTGCCTGGTCTCTGGAAGAGTGGAGCCTCTAGTTAAGAGGTGATGAATACAATCGAAGTATTGAGCACCTTCTACATGCCAGGGACCAAGATGGATGCTTTACCAAGAACATTAGCTCATCTGGTAGTAGGAGCTCAAAAGTGTTTATCGAATGAATGAACCAGTCTGGGCTCCTATAAAGAAAACGTTATTAATGTTAAATTGTGGTATAATCATTGCAGCTGGATCAATGGCTTTCAATTCTGGCTGCACATCAGAGGTGATTAATCCTGGAGCTTTTTAGAAATCCAGATCCTTGGGCTCCATTCCCCAAAGGGTCATATTGGGTAGATTTGGGCAACTGTAGTTTCTAAAAGCTCCATGTGTGCTTCTGATGTCTTGCCAAGGATGAAAACCATTGGTCTACACAATCTTTCCGAGGGGAAACTGGAAACACAGACCTTGGCATAGCTGGAAAGAGCCCAGGTTTTGGAGCCAGGTAGATGTTGA